CTCGCTCTTGCTCAGGCTGGTCTTGAACTCCTGAGCTCAAACAATCCGCCCGCCTCGGTCTCCCAGAATGCTAGGATTACAGGCGTGAGCCACCGCGCCCGGCCTAGAAATCAGTTTTCTTAGAAATGAGCACACGTGTGTGTATGTGTGTGTATGTGTGTGTGTGTGTGTGTGCGTGTGTATGCACATGTGGGTGAAGTAAGAACGTTTCCTTATCTACAAAACTGGAGAGGTGATACGTGCCTGGCCTACCTCAAACGGGTGCTGGCAGGACCCGGTGTGCTAACATGAAAGAGCAACTGAGGCATGTGAAGAATGCCGGCGCGGCCTCCTTTCCCGTTCTGATCTCCTGCGAACATTCAAGACCGCTCTCGCACGTGATAATCCAAAGGCCTCCGATTCTCCACTGAAGCTGTTCTTTCCAATTGTAGGACAGTCTCCTGCTCTCTTTAGTTATCACGGACACCGACTGCATGGCGGATGCATGGCCATTCATGTGACAGATATTAGGCTCTGTCAAATTACAGCTGAGGGCCTGTCCAAAGCTAGTTGCTACGGAGAATGCAGAGAAACTGAAAACATGATCCCAGCCTGTCCTTGAGGGATTTAAGGCCTCATTTGAAAGACGCAACAAACTTCGTAACTGATGTTTTATGAAGAGCATAGTATTTGAACGAAAAAGACTGAGTTTGCAGTGGCAGCCCCTCCAATTTCAGGCTGGGCACTTGGTCAAGTCATTTAAATGCATCTGTCTCTATTTCTTCATATAACATGGAGAAGTAAGATTTCCTTCAGAGGATTACACATTACGTGATTTTTATAAAGCACTCGCCAGTTGTAAAGTGTTAGGACTGCAGATAACATAACTTGGTGGGGTGCTGGTGAGTTTGGAGAGAGGCTGGGCTGGTGGGTGAGAGTGGTGGGAGGCCTGGGGTGGGGAAGGGATGGGGCTGAGACTGAGCCTGGGGGCTGGTGCCATCTGCAGGGACAGGAAGGAAGAGAGGGCTGTGTTAGACAGAGGACGTGTCCTCGCCAAGGGCTGGAGGCTGCAAGGAACAAGGGCAGCAGGAGGCAGCTCAGCAGGACAGAGGTGGACAGGCCACGCTGAGATGTGTTGTCAGGCGGTGTTGGGAAGAACCGGGGAAAAGACAAAAGAGGGCTTTAGATGCAGTTATTCCATGGACAGTGAAAGCATTGGAGGTTTTCTGATCAGAGGAGTTGCTTGATTAAAGCATTATTTTAGAAAGACTAACCTTAGGATTAAAAAAAGGATGGTTTGGGGGATGGAGGGGAGAGAAAGGGAGAGAGAGAGAGAGAGAACAATGTAGGTGGCAAGAGAAAGGAGCTGGAGACATTTCAGTGGCTAGAAAATGGAAGAACAAAGGAATTCACAAGGAAAGCTCCACTCACAGGAAAAATGGTGGATGCAATTTTAGACATATAGATTTTAAAGTGACAAGAGAACATCTGAGTGGAACCATCTAGATGATAGCAGGGCTCTGGGATTCACATAAAGAATTCTTTTATGATTCACAATGACAGGGAGAATATGCCCAGCTCACCAGGAAGAAGGTAGAGTGAGAAGATTAATGCTCCAGGGTGAGCTTTGGGCTATTCCACATTTAAAGGACAGGCAGAGGAGAGGAAACAGCACATTCTGTAGGAGAGAGAGAGTGTGGTTCCCAATACTGAATGATGCCTGGTGTTTTTGACAGCCGTTAAACTGTACTTTAAAAACAGAATGGTAGTAACTCTCTATCCAGGGCTATAATCTAGAACCCTCACACTAAGGACTTCTAAAGATGGGAACATAGCATAGGAAGTGGGCTGATCTCATCTCCCTCAAGACTCAGACTCACACGCCTGGAGTCCTGCCGGAGTCCCACAGATGATGGCACTAGTGCTACTGGAATGACCAACTCCTTTGTTTGTAGATGTCTGTGCCCACCTCTGAGCCAGATGTTCTTAGCTGCGTAGCCAGTGCCAGTCCTTCCTTCTTCTTTGCGAATCCAACCTTGTTAAACAGGGCAGTGCAGTGCTGGGCCCTGAGTGAGATACTCGCTTTTGCAGCCTCCCTTGCAACTAGGGGTGGGCCCTGCGATACAATTCCAGACAAGGAGGTGTGAGCAGGAGCCGCCATGAGACACGGAAGGCTTTTGCCCTGCTTCATGGAAGGTGCTCTGTTCCTGCAGCTAAACATAGTCCCCATTAATACAATGTCCTTTACCTTTTCAGATCCACAGTGGTGACATTGAACACGACTCCTTTCAGCCAAAGGATCATGAAGAGACGCTGAGAGAAAGGACAGTTGCCAATGCTTTCCCCATCGATTCCAGCCTAGAAAGAAGAGAACCAGAGTCCTGAGTCGCCATGTGTGTACTCGCAGGAAGGAGCCCAGGTTTATGATACCCAAATTCCGGTCTCAGGAGGACTTACCAAAACCATGCCCCAGCCAACTGCAAAGGGCAGTAGCCCATCTTATTCATCTTTGTCTTCCTAATGTCAATGCCAAGCAATGCCTGCCACTGTGTAAGGGCTTGGCAAATACTTGCTGAACTGAGCTTAGTCATTACGTAGGATCATACTTTTATGAAATCACAGAACTCTGGCATCTAAGGGTAAAAAGAGACCTTCAACATCACGTAGTGTAACACAAATGATACTGGAACACCAACATCTATACCCACGAGTAATCATCTAGCCTATGTTTGAATATCTCCACTGACCAGTAATTTAAATCTGTCAAAGCAGTCCGTTCTGAGGATTGCTCTAACAATTAGAAATGCTTTCCTTTGGCTATACTCAGCCAAAACACGTTTCTCTGTAGTTTATTCTCCTTTATCCCTTGATCCTTGCTTCATGAGGATGTCACAAGTACAGATATCTCAGACTTTGATCCCATCTCCCTA